ATATATATATATATTTTATATATATATATATATATATTTAACTCGTGCCTTTGTAACGAATGACCCTCATGGAGTTTAGTGGCATCATCTAATATGCCTCTCACTCAGATTTGGAATCACCCTCTTCAGGTGTGGATAAGAAACGTGTATTATACATGTTTGTTTAATTCATAAACTGAGAATTCCTCGCAGAATAAAAAAAAATATGGCAGAATAAATTAAAGTAGTAAACTAAGGAGGACAATGAAAATAAGGCATAGGTCATAGCAACCACTGAGACTAAGCTAACAGGTATGAAAATATGTGGACGTGTCACGGGCGCCCTCTCTTCCCGCCCACTCTCCGCCTCCTCACTTCCTGTCCATTTTCAATACCTCCGACTGCGTGGGCGTGACCGCGTCTGCAAAGGAAATGGGCATGAGAGGTGCATAAAGTTACCTACGTAAATTTATGGGGTTTGAATCCAGGCTCCTAGGCCGTTCTTTAACCTTAGAATGATGGACTTGATCTATCTCTGTCATATTTATTTTGAATCCGTGTATGGAGTCATCCTCTACCATATTCACTTTTTTTAAGTGTATTCCTCTTTTTACATTTATGGTGCGGGTTTTTTTCTAATATCCCTTAGCTGTTTAGCATCCATATTTGTTCCTTATCCTCAACCCTTCTGTCTTAAACATCATCGCATTATTGTTTATACCCCAGAATATTCTGCTTGTTGTGGCCATATTTCCTTTTGATCTACGAGTCGTAAGATGAGTTTGCTCAACCTTCTCTAATAGCTGATAAAACCTTGTGAATAACTACAAATGAATAATCTTCCCGCCTTAGAACTCTTAGTTAAGGTTAACTGCATAAAAAAAAATTATGCTTAATGATTTTTTTCAAAGTTTCGTCCATCCATTGTTACTACTCCCTTCCCGCCCTTGTTCCATAAGAATCGTCGCTGGGTGACTGTTCTCTGTGAACTGAGGATAAACTCATACCCACCCACAGCCACCTGTATATGGGTGCTCACGATCCTCTCTGATACGTGTGGCATGCCTCTGAAACATATACCATTTCTTCAGACTTCTTGTTTTAGCTGTACCTGGTTACCTGTTGGGACCTCTAGAAAGTTGGGGACTAGTTTAATATTAGTCTAATGATTTTTTTTTTTAACTGATGCGAGAAATTTTAACTTTGTGTGATTGTCATTGTAATGTATCTCTTGAGTGTTAGTGTGAATGTTTTTTTTTAAATTGAGCAGTTAGTTTTAGGTTGTGTGTGTTACGGTTGCATGTGTGTATAATAACTTGTGATCTCAGCGCTGTGTAAATCTTAAAATTTCTTTCTTTTCCTTCCACAATGCTACCTTCCTACCAATACCAATTCCCTTTCCTCCTGAGAAGATTATCTTCATATCTGACAGTCTCTGCCTCTGAACTACCGCTTTCCTTCACCTTCATTACCATTATCATTCTTATGACATGAGTAATAACAATTTAGCAAGCGAATATTCCAGTAACGGAATTGTTTTCCTGTACAGTGTTTCCGGTGACGTAGTTAAGGTTAGGTGAGGGGAAAGAGGGGTGAGGTGAGGAGGTCCCTATACTCCACAAGCACCAGAAACCATATATGGTGATCCAAGTCTCGTGTAGCCTACGCCACGAACGGTGTAGCTTATGAATTTGACCTTTATGTTAGGGTGACGTGTGGCAGTGTTTTCCCTGTACAAATGTGAGGCCTCAAGCGGAACTTACCAGTTGCTCATACTTAACTCAATTAAAGGAGTAATGCCAGGCTTTCCAAGGAAAATGATGATTGTACCAAACTTAACCATTCGCATGATGGGGACGTTTGTGAGAGGGTCATTAATTAGGGAGACTCGTTAGCAAGGAATCATTAGAAAGATCTATTATACGAAGTCCTTAATTTAAGGAAGGGAAGTCGTTAAGAGTAGTCGTCGGGGGAGTCGTTAGAGGAATCTGTTGAGGGGTGTCTTAAAGGATTAACCCGTAAGGTCACGCTGTTTTAATTTTACGTTCCCCTTTATGTTTACCAATCCAGTATATTATATTCCTCCTCGCGTAAAAAAAAAAAAACATCGTAATTGTAGTACAGAAACTCTTGTTAACAGCGTGCACATGTGTGTATGGTTGTATTGTCAACACACACGCACACACACACACCAGGTAATCAGGCTGAGCAAGAAAGGAGGGAAGTTCACAAGAAACAACCAAAAAGTATGTGAAGAGCTCAGCACGAGATTTAAGGGTACACTAACAAGTGCTGGACACACCACACGCAACTGAGGAGGAGGTGAAGAGGCTGCTAAGCGAACTAGATACCTCAAAGGCGGTGGAACCGGACGTCTTTGCGTGGGTCCTAAGAGAGGGAGTGTTGCTAGTGGCACTGTCTGTGCCACTAGCAACAATCTTCAACACATCTATCGAGGCAGGGCAACTACCTGAGGTGTGGAAGAGAGCAAGTGTAGTCCCAATCTTTAAGAAAGGAGACAGGTAGCATTAAACTACAGACCAATGTCATTGTCATGTATGCAAAATCGTGGAGAAGCTTATCAGAAGCGTGGTGGAGCACCTAGAAAGGAAAGAACTTATATACAATAACCAGCACGGTTTCAGGGAAGGAAATCCTGTGTCACAAACCTACTGGAGTTTTACGACGAGGTGACAAGTAAGGCAGGAAAGGGGGGGTAGATTGCATTTTCTTGGACTGTAAGAAGACTTTCGATACAGTTACGCACAAGAGATTAGTGCAAAAGATAGAGAAGCAGGCAGGAATAACAGGAAAGGCACTGCAGTGGATCGGAGAATACCTGACAGGAGGGAAACAAAGAGTGATGGTACGTGACAAGGTGTCAGAGTGGGCGCCTGTGACGAGCGGGGCTCCACAAGGGTCAGTCCTAGGGCCGGTGCTGTTTCTGGTATATGTAAATGACATGACGAAAGAGATAGATTCAGAGGTGTCCCTGTTTGCAGACGATGTGAAGCTAATGCAGAGAATTCAGGTGAATAAGGATCAGGTAGGACTACAAATGGATCTGGACAGGCTGTAAGCCAGGTCCAACAACTGGCTCCTGGAGTAACCCCACCAAGTGCAAATTCATGAAGATTGGTTAAGGTTAAGAGAGGTTAAGGGAAACCTGATGACACTGGGGGATAGGAGGGATAGGGGAGATATGATAACGGCATATAAGATACTGATAAGAATTGACAAGATGGATAGGGACAAAATGTTTCAGAGATGGGACACAGCAACATGGGGTCACAACCGGAAGTTGAAAATTCAGATGAGTCACAGGGATGTTAGGAAATATTTCTTCAGACACAGAGCTGTTGGAAAGTGTAACAGTCTGGAGAGTGATGTAATAGAAACAGGATTCATACGTAGCTCTAAGAAGACATACGATAAAGCTCATGGAGCACGGAGAGAGTGGACCTAGTAGCGACCAGCGAAGAAGCAGGGCCAGGAGCTATGAATCGACCCCTGCAACCATAATTAGGTGAGTACAAGGGGACATAACTGGAAGTTAAAAAACTCAGATGGGTCATAGGGATGTTAGGAATTATTTCTTCAACCTTAGAGTTGTCAGCCGGACAATCTGTAGAGTGTAGTGGAGGCAGGATCCATACATAGCTTTAAAATAAGGTACGATAGGGTTCTTGGAGCTGGGAGAGAATGGACCTAGTAGCGACTAGCGAAGAGGCGAGACCAGGAGCTGTGAATGAACCCCTCCAACCACAAATAGGTGAGTATACACACACACACGTGTGTGTGTGAGTATTGCATCATTGGCTATACCGTCCCAGGAACATCACTCAGCAGATGCCAATTACCTACATATTTTATATAATTAGGTAAGTAGATCTGATCTAGATATTCGCTGCCTTTATTAAGCTGAAATATTAGTATTTCTATATTTACGAAAGAAAACTTCAAAATATTTGAGATAATGTGATAATTTAGCGGTAATTAAAGAAATTTGGTAATGGTTGTGAGGCCCTGGCAGTGGGAATGTGTTGTAGTGGGCAGCCAGGGCAGGGTGGCTCTCCAACCTCTGGCCCAGTGTGACTAAGGCAGTGGGCTGGTGTGCTTGTACTGAACCAGTTAAGTCGTACTTATAACCCACATATACGATACTTCGATACGACTGTTTTCGACTCTATGCCCGAGAACGACTACGAAACGAGTTATTCATAATCAGAAGATAGGTCAAGTGCTGTATTTTAAAAAATTTACAAAGTGATTCCTTGATAAGCTAAGACAAGATTTGTTTGGAATTTTAACTCGGAGGGTTAGTCACCCAGGATAACCCGAGGACTGTCTCCGAGTCTAGGGAAACTAGATTTTTTGTTGCTGTGTTGAGATAACTGATCGTGAAGATGGTGAGGTGTATGATACAGTCCCATAACCAGAAGTACTGGATGACTCATAGAGTGAGTAATGTCTTTCTACCTAATGTTCATATTAGTAACATACACTAATACATACAAGTTTTGGAGTATTTCGTAGACCATAAAAAGATGTGGTAGCACGTTCGTCTCGCGACCAGAGAACCGAGGTTTAATACAAGCGAGACATGGGCACTCTTCCTGTCCTTGTTCACATAACAGGAAATACCACATCCTTCTAGCAACTGTCATTTTTTCACATATGGTTTACAGCACATTTCTAGGTTAGGCTAAGCATCCCTGAATGGTTGACAGAATTTGTTTTAATGCTTACTGTAAGGTTTCCCTAGCTAAGGTTTCTAGCTAACAAAATTAGGGCGGCAGTTATAACCATCTCTGAATCTTGGTTGGATGATACGGTGACTGACGACGAGGTCAAAATAGATGGTTACAATATAAAACGCTTAGATAGGAACAGAAAGGGTGGTGGAGTATGTGCCTACATTAGAAATGACTTAGCTTACAACCCAAGACCTGATTTAAATAGCAATAAACTGGAGATTCTATGGTTTGAAGTGCTGCTTCCTAAGGCCAAACCCATCTTAGTAGGAACTAGTTACCGCCCTCCTACCCAGGACCAGTTCTTAGAAGACTTTTCCAGAGTCTTGTCCGGAGTTGAAAACAATTGCGAGACAATAATACTGGGCGACTTCAATATCTGTTTTCAGCAGCAAAATAACGGGCTATGCAAAAGGTATAAGCAAATTCTAGGATTAAATAGTTACACTCAACTAATTAATACTCCAACCCGGATCACACAGTTCTCAGCCACTCTAATTGACCACATACTTTGTAACCGCTCTGAGAACATTAGTCAGTCAGGCGTCATTACCACAGGTCTTAGTGATCATTTCATCATTTACTGCACCAGGAAAATCACTAGGGATAGGATAGGCCTACACAGGACAATAAAAATGAGGTCAACTAGAAACTACAGTAAAGAAACACTGGTAAATAGGCTACACAATTGTGACTGGACAGAGATAACAAGTTGCACGGACGTAAACGATGCCTGGGAAAAATTCAAAACAATGTTCACTACCATCCTTGATAATATTGCACCAGTTAAAGAGGTTAGGATTAAACGAAGAACTGAACCCTGGATGAATACTGAGATATTAAATAATATGAAATTCAGAGACCAGCTGCTAAAAAGATTTAAAGCAAACAGACAGGATATTGCAGCACTAAATGAATTCCAAAGGGTGAGGAACAGAGTACAGAGACTTATAAAAGGAGCAGAGGCAAAGCACTACTGGTCAAAAATTGAAGAGTATAAGCATAACCCCAGAAAGCTCTGGCAACAACTAAAACATTTGGGGTATACCTGGAGTTTACCTGGAGAGAGTTCCGGGGGTCAACGCCCCCGCGGCCCGGTCTGTGACCAGGCCTCCTGGTGGATCAGAGCCTGATCAACCAGGCTGTTGCTGCTGGCTGCACGCAAACCAACGTACGAGCCACAGCCCGGCTGATCAGGAACTGACTTTAGGTGCTTGTCCAGTGCCCGCTTGAAGACTGCCAGGGGTCTGTTGGTAATCCCCCTTATGTATGCTGGGAGGCAGTTGAACAGTCTCGGGCCCCTGACACTTATTGTATGGTCTCATAACGTGCTAGTGACACCCCTGCTTTTCATTGGGGGGATGGTGCATCGTCTGCCAAGTCTTTTGCTTTCGTAGTGAGTGATTTTCGTGTGCAAGTTCGGTACTAGTCCCTCTAGGATTTTCCAGGTGTATATAATCGTGTATCTCTCCCTCCTGCGTTCCAGGGAATACAGGTTTAGGAACCTCAAGCGCTCCCAGTAATTGAGGTGTTTTATCTCCGTTATGCGCGCCGTGAAAGTTCTCTGTACATTTTCTAGGTCGGCAATTTCACCTGCCTTGAAAGGTGCTGTTAGTGTGCAGCAATATTCCAGCCTAGATAGAACAAGTGACCTGAAGAGTGTCATCATGGGCTTGGCCTCCCTAGTTTTGAAGGTTCTCATTATCCATCCTGTCATTTTTCTAGCAGATGCGATTGATACATGATCACTCCCAGGTCTTTGACGTTGGTGTTTCGCTCTATTTTGTGGCCAGAATTTGTTTTGTACTCTGATGAAGATTTAATTTCCTCATGTTTACCATATCTGAGTAATTGAAATTTCTCATCGTTGAACTTCATATTGTTTTCTGCAGCCCACTGAAAGATTTGGTTGATGTCCGCCTGGAGCTTTGCAGTGTCTGCAATGGAAGACACTGTCATGCAGATTCGGGTGTCATCTGCAAAGGAAGACACGGTGCTGTGGCTGACATCCTTGTCTATGTCGGATATGAGGATGAGGAACAAGATGGGAGCGAGTACTGTGCCTTGTGGAACAGAGCTTTTCACCGTAGCTGCCTCGGACTTTACTCTGTTGACGACTACTCTCTGTGTTCTGTTAGTGAGGAAATTATAGATCCATCGACCGACTTTTCCTGTTATTCCTTTAGCACGCATTTTGTGCGCTATTACGCCATGGTCACACTTGTCGAAGGCTTTTGCAAAGTCTGTATATATTACATCTGCATTCTTTTTGTCTTCTAGTGCATTTAGGACCTTGTCGTAGTGATCCAATAGTTGAGACAGACAGGAGCGACCTGTTCTAAACCCATGTTGCCCTGGGTTGTGTAACTGATGGGTTTCTAGATGGGTAGTGATCTTGCTTCTTAGGACCCTTTCAAAGATTTTTATGATATGGGATGTTAGTGCTATTGGTCTGTAGTTCTTTGCTGTTGCTTTACTGCCCCCCTTTTTGGAGTGGGGCTATGTCTGTTTTTTTTTAGTAACTGTGGGACGACCCCGTGTCCATGCTCCCTCTCCATAGGATGGAAAAGGCTCGTGATAGGGGCTTCTTGCAGTTCTTGATGAACACAGAGTTCCATGAGTCTGGCCCTGGGGCAGAGTGCATGGGCATGTCATTTATCGCCTGTTCGAAGTCATTTGGCGTCAGGATAACATCGGATAGGCTTGTGTTAATCAAATTTTGTGGCTCTCTCATAAAAAATTCATTTTGATCTTCGACTCTCAGTCTGGTTAGCGGCTTGCTAAAAACTGAGTCATATTGGGACTTGAGTAGCTCACTCATTTCCTTGCTGTCATCTGTGTAGGACCCATCTTGTTTAAGTAGGGGCCCAATACTGGACGTTCTCGATTTTGATTTGGCATAGGAGAAGAAATACTTTGGGTTTCTTTCGATTTCATTTATGGCTTTTAGTTCTTCCCGCGATTCCTGGCTCCTAAAGGATTCTTTTAGCTTAAGTTCGATGCTTGCTATTTCTCTGACCAGTGTCTCCCTACGCATTTCAGATATATTGACCTCTTTTAGCCGCTCTGTTATTCTTTTCCGTCGCCTGTAAAGGGAGCGCCTGTCTCTTTCTATTTTACATCTACTCCTTTTTCTTAGAGGAATAAGCCTTGTGCATACATCGAGTGCCACCGAGTTAATCTGTTCTAGGCATAAGTTGGGGTCTGTGTTGCTTAGTATATCTTCCCAGCTTATATCGGTTAGGACTTGGTTTACTTGGTCCCACTTTATGTTTTTGTTATTGAAGTTGGATTTGGTGAATGCTCCCTCGTGACTAATCTCATTTTGTCGGTCTGGGGCTCCGCGCATACATGTCTGAACCTCAATTATGTTGTGATCTGAGTATATTGTTTTTGATATGGTGACATTTCTTATCAGATCATCATTGTTAGTGAAGATGAGGTCTAGTGTATTCTCCAGTCTAGTAGGCTCTATTATTTGCTGGTTTAAATTGAATTTTGTGCAGAGATTTAAAAGCTCGCGTGAGTGTGAGTTTTCATCAGAGCTGCCTCCTGGTGTTATTACTGCAACAATATTATTTGCTATATTCCTCCATTTTATGTGCCTTAAGTTGAAATCCCCCAGGAGCAAGATGTTGGGTGCAGGAGCTGGAAGATTTTCCAGACAGTGGTCAATTTTTAACAGCTGTTCCTGGAATTGCTGGGATGTTGCATCCGGAGGCTTGTAGACTACCACAATGACTAGGTTTTGGTTCTCGACCTTTACTGCTAAAACTTCCACTACATCATATGAGGCATTTAGCAGTTCTGTGCAAACAAGTGACTCTGCAATGTACAGGCCAACCCCCCCCCCCCCTTTTGCCTGTTCACTCTGTCACATCTGTATAGGTTGTAACCTGGGATCCATATTTCGTTGTCCAAGTGATCCTTTATGTGGGTCTCAGTGAAAGCCGCGAACATTGCCTTTGCCTCTGCAAGCAGTCCACGGATGAAAGGTATTTTGTTGTTTGTTGCTGGCTTTAGACCCTGTATATTTGCAAAGAAGAATGTTATCGGACTGGTGGTATTGTTGGTACTGGGGGGGGGATTTTTTTCCGGCATTAGTATCTGTATCTGTTGGTTTGGAGTGGAGGCCATCGACTGTGGTTCCACTCCAGGAATGACTGGATTTGGTGTACGATTTCTGCCATTTCCTGCCAGTTTTTTTCCTTCCTGGCACTAAAAAACCTCTCCCTCTTGAGTGGCTGTGGCTACCCAGGTTTTCCCATGGCCTGGATGTTTTGTATCTTTTTGTCCCCTTTAGATGGCATGCCTGGCAATTTAAGTTATAGCACAGTCTTTCCTGTACTGAAGAGGTACACAGTTCAGGGTGAAAGCTTACAGCCATAAGCTGTATAAGCTTATAGCCATAAGCCAGTAGATAGGTCTAACATAGTACTCACTATCGATAATGAGGTATGCCATGAAACATCTAAGGTGGCAAATTGCTTTAATTCATACTACACATCTGTTGCATCAACACTAGTAAGTAAACTACCAGCTGCATCAAATACCTTTAACACAGACTCTGATAAGTTTCAAGCATACTATACCAATAAATGGGTAACCCCAAACAGTTGTCAACTAGTAAGTGTATCTCATGACTTTATTCAAAAAGAACTAAGCAGGTTAAACCCAACTAAGAGCACAGGCCCTGATAACATCCC